GGCCTGATCTTAGCCAGATTATGTGATAGTAATTTACTCCACTGTTAGTTCCGTTTGTTCTTCTTCTCTGTGCTTTGATTTTTTTTTCCTCTTTTGGTTAGCAAGTGTAGGAGACGGGTAAATTTCGTCTTTGTTTTTTTTCCCTGAAATTAGCGGTGCCTTACCAACCGGACAGGCTTAGCTTAAGTCTTCATTAACTTCCATGATCCTTAATATTCAGTTTCATCAACAATGACAACTGAAACACCATTAGACAATTAGTGACCAACTGATAACGACCTGTGCTTTCAGTTGATTCTTAATCTATCTACGTCCTACTTTCCTATGGACTTCTGGAGATGCTGATGAGCTATGAACAGAGACATGTCTCAACGGACGTAGGCATCAAGGTCTGAACATAACAATCATATCTTACTTGGATTTCAACTCTGTTAATCCTGCTTGTTCTTCTTCTTCTTCTTCTTCTTCTTTTTTGCAGCAGTTCTTGCATCAAGGTCTGCTAGCTTTCATTTTACTAGTTCTTCCTTTGGTTGCTTTCTGAACTCCTGTTGTGCATGGATGCATCGCCAGTTTGACTGTTGCTGGATAAAGTTTGAACAGTGCCAAGAAATGTCATTCTTTCAGAAAATGACACCGTTGTGTAGTACTGTAGCTATTATGACAGATAAATTCACTTCTGACCTGTCCTTTTTTTCAATTACTCTATCCTTAGTCTTTACCTTTTTTAAGACGCATGCAAGTTCATAAAAAAAGAAAAGATGTCAAACTCTTTTGTTCTTTCTTTGAGATGGATGATGCTATACTACACAGATAATTGATTACTTGACAACTCTTGCAGCTGAATATCTTGTTCCTTGGACAAGTGTCGCAGTGACAACTCTGACAAATGCATACTTGCAAGGTGCAGAGTTGACTTCTGGTAATATAAAATAGACAAAGGGAAAAAAAACCTTTGTTGGATACTTGTATGAGATGATAATCCTGAGTCCTGACTCTTGGGTTTCAGTTAATCATCTTTGTTTCTCAATTATTTACCTATTGTTGTTTAAAAAAATATTTACTTATTAGTACAGTTTCAGAGTTTCTCTTCACAAGCACAAAGATAATACAGCTCAATTCGGAAGGTGATAATATGCAAGATCTCTAGGAAATGTCAGGCACCTAATCAGTTTAATTTGATTCAAATTATCAGAGTACAACAGCAGATCATATCCATGGTTTCTGATCACAGCAGTCTGAGCCTTTTAGGTCACAGACAAATCGTACACCGTCCATTTTCGATATTCAGTTCCTGAAAACTTCTGTCGTTCAGTTGTTCAGGTTTTCTTCATGCTGATCAGCCATGACTTTTGGCACAACCAGGCAACTTTTATTGAGAGCCCGTTCAAATTGGTGTCATTTTGAATCATATTATTCTTTAGGTAAAATTGACAAATATTTTTTTTATTTTTTTAGAGAAGGATATTTTTTACCCGGCCTTTACATTCAACCGGATATTATTCTTTAGGTAAAATTGACAAACATTTTTTATTCTTTTAGACAAGCCTTTTTAGATTAGAAACTTAGCCTATCAAACAGGGAAATTCGTTCCTATGAAGATTTGAACTTAGAATCTTGGGGTGCTACTCAGTTCACTACACCACTAGGCTACATGCCTTTTCACAGAATTGACAAACATGTGGATGCATTTAGTTTGTTACCAAACATTGGTAATACCTAGAAAATTTTAACAACACATTTAACCTATCCTACTAAAATTTGATAATGTTGTCAGTTTGTTAAAATTTTGGTGTTGCAAAATTGTGGAAAAGTTTATTGCCCTGAGATTGGAGTTCAAAACAAAGAATGTTAGTGCATGATATACTTGATGTATAATGTCAAACAGAGCATAAAAAAACAGTCGAAAGAATGTACTATCTGATAAATCATAAGAGTGATGCATGCCTGTCTGCTAGTACTTTACTTTGTGATTAAAGTAGGTGATCTTCAATAGGTGCAGAAAGTTCAGGATATTGTGATTAAAGTATACAGCTTAGAATTCTGATGTATATCTAGCATGCTGGGTCAGTAGGTCCCCAGGTACATTGTATGTAACAATTTTTTTAGAGGGACTAAACAAATATCTGAAAGCAACTAGCTGCTTTTGAAATTTATTTAGCAAAAACTACTTAACCAGTTTTTTTAATCACTTGAAAAAAAAGGTAGATTATTCAGAATAAGATATAGGAGAAGAGACAGGTGTTCAACCACAGTTTACAATAAGCATAAATGAAATTAAAATCTGAATTATGGCCTAGACAAATTAAGCAGTAAGTCTGAACTGAAAGAAAGAAGACTACAACACTATGGATTCTGGACCCATTTGGCAACGGGGAAGATATCAAAGCCCAAAGACAACAATGAACTGAACCCAATTGAAGCCCATGTAGACAATTATGTAAAGCGTTCGTGAAAAAAGTAGACAATTATGTAATAAGTGATTGTAGTTTTAACTTGGTTGAAGCAAAGGCCAGGTTTACACCCATTATGGGTATTTATAAATTTGCCACTGGTTTTTCTAATTTTGCAAGGATGCCACTTGATGACAGTTCTAGTGATATTATTGCAATTTATTAGTGACAGTCTTGCAATAATGATTTAAACTAGTGGCAAATTTGTAATTGCCCCAAAGGAAAAATGTATGTTTGACCTCCCTTGAAGTCCATAATTGAAGCCCATTCTGACTTCTTCCTGGAAAAAAAAATAGGTCTGAAATTGTGAGCGCTCAAGTTTCTTAGGTTAATCTAAGAGTAGTAGTTAATTTTCTCCGAGCATCTTTTCCTATAAACAACGCTTACTTCAGATCACAGAAGGAAAATTTCTCATTATGTTGTGGCGTTTTAACATCGAAAATGTTGGGACCTACGTGTGCAGGGAATCTCTCTTTTGTTAGCGTCGTCTCGTCTGCCATGGCTGTTCCAAGTAGAGTTATCCTCTTTAGTGTAAGGCAGACAAATGAAAAGAATGTTTTTTTTTGGATGTTTGTATGAGATGCTAAATCCTGGAACTTGAAAATTGAGGGGGCTGTTCAGATTGTAACCAAAATAAACCTTATTAGAATTTGACAATTTAGCAATATTGCCAAGTTTTGGCATGATTTTCTTAAGTATTTACTAAAGTTTGGTAAAAAAAACTAAATGGATGCACGTCTTTAGCAACTTTACCAAAAAATGATATGGTTTGAAATGACATCAATCTGAACAACCCCTGAGATACGCATATTTGCTTCTCAAGGTATCAACCATTCACTGAGTTGAGAAATCATGTAAAAAAAAAGTTCAGAAATATCTTCAGATAGGCGGGTTCTGAAGAAAAATCAAGCCGAAAAAAAAAACCTCCAGCCCTGGGCTTCGGAGATTGAAATTCCGAACCCCCTTGCCCTCTCTTGCTTAAAAAAACAAAAGTTCATTGCTTGCTTGCTTTATTGGTTCTGCAGATCACTGTATGTATTGCTGTATTGGATTTCTAATGTTGAATCCAAAACAGAAAAGTTCATCTACTCTTGTACTGTCCTGCAATCACAGTTTGCAATACTCTGGCACATCTGCACGAGTAGAAATTCAGTTGCTGTAGTAGTTGGCACAGCCTTGCTGGGAGATCGTCTGAATTTCTGCATTGCCGAAAATTCGATGCATGCTGTACTTCTCAAAGGACTGGAATGCAGGGCCTCGGCCGAAGATTCGATATACAGTATTTCTGAACGCAAAGGTGAAGTGTTCTTATATGTGGCTTTGATTACAAAACAGGATGGAATTCGAATTCAGAACATGTTCAAGCAAAAAATTATGAAAGAGGACGCATTAGTAATGTTCAGAATTCAGAAGATGCTTTGCAGGTTGTTGAATTTGCACCACCAAAGCTTTGAAATAGTGTAGGCTTTGATCCATGGACCGAACATATACATCTGTAATTTATCTGATTATCCCTTTGATAATTGGCAGAAACTTTCTCTCTGCTCCATGCCGTAGGATGTTCAGCTGAGCAATCCAGCTCTCACGCAAAACGGGAAAGAAAAACCAGTTCTAGGCACGATCCAAACTGATCAAGTCGCAATCAGTAGTGTGCGTAAAGGTGATTAATCTCTGATCCCGTTGCTTTCGGTAGGAAAATTAGAAGAAGAAAAAAAAATCCTCTCTTGGGTTCGGAGATTAAAACTCCGAGTCGGCCTTGGCCGTAAGTATTGCTGCTGCAAAGCCTCTGTGCTTGCTTGCTTGCTTTATTGGTTCTGCAGATTGTCGTATGTATCGTTGTCTTGGATTATTAGCGATGAATCCCAATTCCCAAACAACAACAAAAATAATGCATAAATCTAGTCGTTTCTGTATCTGGTCTGCATAATGTATAAGCCCATGTCGTTCAAGTGACATAGCAAATCCTGAAATATAAGGGTTAATTGGATCCATGCCTCTACAAATATGCAAAATTAGAAAAATGGCACTACTATTCACGATATCGGCTATATGCCACTGGAATTTGGAGAAATTGATTCCATACCACTCCCTCGCGTTTTCCGTCCACTTTTCTATCATCCCTGTTAATTTCTATCCTTGTCGTCTTGCTGTTATCTCTGGGACCTCGCCACTGCAACGACAAGCACACCGCCACCACTGGATTCACTCGCGCCGCACGCAGGCACAGCCGCCCAACTCTGGCCGCGAGTTGCGGTGCAAGAAGCGGAGGAAGGAAGCAGAGAGGCGGGGAGCGAGGAAACCGGTGAGTTTAATTTGAGTTTCGGCCGGATAGATAAGTATGTGGTTCTTGGCCCAAAAAGATCAGCCAAGATGGGGTTGGGCCGGTCGAGAGAGCCCATTAAAATATTAATATGCCTCAATTTATCCCCGGCCCACCAAAATGGCCCGCACGCAAGTCCTAATCCAGTTCCGGGCTTCCGGCCCAGCAAAAAGCCGGATATAGTGTCATTCGATAATTAAGCAGAAGGTTAGATCACTGAGATGTATTAGTAGGGTCTCTAGGAAAATGTCAGGCATCTCTGATTAAGCAGTATGTGACAAAATTATCGAAGTACAGGCAACAGAATGACATGGTTTCTGAATCACAACACAGTCAAGGTTACAATTAAATCGTACATTGTTAGAGAATAGAGAAATGGAAATCATGAGCCGGAAGAATCATAGATCTGGAATTACATCCATTTTTCTGGTGTTTAAGTTTTTTTCCTGGCGCTGACATCATCTTCAGTTCCTGAATACTTTTTCTTGTTCTGAATTTTTCTTCATGCTGATCGGCTTTGACTTGTGGCACAACACCAGACATAACACCAGGCAATTCTGAATTGATGAAATTAGGACGATAAGAGAATATTAGTAAATGAGATTGCATACATAATGTAAAACAAGGTTTTCAAAAAGTAGTTGAGGCATGAAAGAATGTGCTCCAATCAGATTAAGTGAGATTCATGTTACCCTACTACTTGATAGTATAATGGTAGCAGTAGATAATCTTAAATAGTGCAGAAAGCCTTGGAATGTGATCAAAGTATAGTGCAAATTAGAACTTTGATGTATGTCTAGCACACTAGGTCATTAGCTAGGTCTCCATTGAATATTTTTCATACAGTTTTTTTTAGATGGTCCCTACAAATTGCTGAAAGCAATTAGGTAGTTTAAACATTAACTTGGCAAGGAACTGGTTATGAGTTATAACCAGTCCATTTGAACCACTTGCAGAAGACAGAGTTCTTCATGATAGATTCAATAGAAATAGGAGAACAGACTAGTGTTCAATTTACAATCAATGGCAAATGGGACTGAAATATAAATCATGGTCAAGATGAAGCACACATGGTCCAAAGAAGACATTGACACTTTGGAATCTGGACTCATATTGCAACAGTGAAGACTAAACCCCATGACTGAAATGAATTGAGACCAAACCATGTTTCATGTACACTACAGTCTCTATGGGGCATAGTTTAGTATTTTGTAGTCCAGGACACTCTGTTGCATAAAGTTATCTGGATTCAGTGATGTGCTCGTCCATAGTTTGAGAAATACAGCTCTCTTTTTTTTTCAAGCCTGGTACATAATAATGCTAAATAATTTTAACTGGCACAACAGTTCACTATTCTCAATTCGACGAGTTAACTTCATGATAACTTCTGCTATAATTATGGTGCTACTGCTCCTCATCAGGGAAAAACTAGCTAACTGCATTTACTTGTTCTAGATGACAACTCCAAATTAACCAATAGCAGCTTGGCACTGAAATATCTCAGTATCTCTAGCTAGCATGTTCACCACAATGGTCTTGCAAAGTGCTTAAGCAAATTAGTGCTACACATGGATGCTGAATAAGAACAACACTACATTTTGGCCATCAAGAACAAAACAATCTAATGGTTTCATCTGCACATATAGATGTTTACCAACAAGCGAAGCTATTGTAATCTACCACCTATCCTTGACGACCAATACATCAAATGCTACCTGAGTAGGAGTAGCACCCTAAAATCTTAAGTTCAAATCTCCATATGAGCAAATTTCATATCAGGTTTTTTGAGAGACTAAGTTTCTAATTTTAATAAGTTGCATATATCCGGTTGGATGTAAAAACCAGGTAAAAAATTGCCTTCTTTAAAAAATTTAAAATAAAATACGCAAGATTTTATTATCTGAATGTTGTCAATGGAACAGGTTCATCTAGCAAATCGAAAGATTAAAAACATGCGAAAATTTTAACAAAAATGTTACTTACTTAGTCATGTCTTCCTCTCCTCCTTGAAGTCCCAGAGCTGCAGCCTCCGCTCCCCACCATTGGTCGTCGCCGCCGGAGCAGCAGCAGCAGCGCCGCCGACGCCGCCTGCAAGGAAGAACGGGAGGCCGGCGACCTCAGCCGGAGCGGCGGCGAACCTCTGCAGCAGGAACGGGTGCTGCGACGGCGGCGGCTGCGGCGGCGGCGGCCACAGCGACGCATTGGACTGAAGTGTGCCCCGATCGAAGGCGGCCACCGTGGCGTGCTGCTGCTGCTCCTGCGAGAACGCGAGGTGGGGCGGCATCGCCATCACCTCGAACGACATGGGCGCCGCCATGTGCGCGCTCTGCGCCGCCGCGTAGTACGCAAGCGTCGCCTGCTGCTGTTGCTGCAATGGCTTGCTGCCGTTGGTGTTCGAGCAGTGGAGGAGCTCGGCGAACGCGCCGCCGCCGTTGTCGCAGGGGGCGTTGGCGAGGGAGAGCACGGAGCTCTTGCTGGTCTCGGATGTGCTGACCTCGGCGTCGTCGGCGGCCGGCGGCGGCGGCGAGGAGGCGGCGGCGGGGAGGGCGAAGGAGCAGTCGAGCGACGGGAGCGCGTCGATGGCGGCCGCGGCGGCGCGGATGAGCCACTCGATGGCCTTGCTCGGCTGGTCGACGCCGAGGCGGTCCTGGATGTCGTAGAACGCGATGGCCGTCGGCACCGACAGCCTCACCCGGCGGTCGCGGAGCCCCCGCGACGTCACCACCTTGCTGTGCCTGTCCTTCCCCCCCGCCGCCGCCCGCGCCACCCGGCTCGTCCGCCACGCCGCCGCCGTCGCCGCCGACGCGCCCCCGCCGCCGACGCCGACGAGCGCGCCGCGCGGGCGCTTGCGCTCCTTGCCGCCGACGACGACCTCCTCCATGGCTGACGCTTGCGCTACCTCATGCGAAATCCGCCTCCGCTTCGTCTGCTCAAATTTGGGGGGGAAAAGGGGATAAAATTTGTAAAAAAAATTCTTTACGAAATGATAGCTTTAGAGGTGGCAAAGATTGCAAAAAAAAAAAAAGATTTGTGGGAGTTCAAATTGTCCACAAAATCTTCTCAGAGGTTGCAATTTGCAAATATAGTAAAATTTGGTAGCCCATTTGCTCTCCCTTGATTTGTAAATGGATTGTACATTGCAATTTATGAAAAAGTAGGAGCTTTGTGGAAGAATCTACTAAAAGCAAACATAAATCTGAACCTTTTGCGGCTGTTCTTGCAGAATTATTTATGGTGCCAACTTTGCTGTGACAACTTTTTTTGTCAAAACGAACTTCAATTAGGGCTAACAACAAGAAGAATAATCAAAACGTCGAGTTGATTAAAGAATTTGTAATTTGAGGTCATGTATCAGAAGCTCCCATCTTCCCAGAGTCAAATCTGGCAAGCAAATCAAGAAATCTCTGGACAAAATAATTCCAAGAAAAAATGGGGGGAAAATAGCTTTAACTGAAACTCTCAAACCACTATCTTTCATCAGTTCATCACCATTTTCCTGCATTACTTAAAGGAAACAAATCTCTGAAGAAACACCACCCAAATTTTCCTCCAAGGGGGGAAATTTTTCAAAACTGCATCCATCCAACAGACGAAAATCGAATTCAACCGAACAGAATGCATCAAATCTTGCTCCCAAAACACATCAACACCAGACCAAAACACACACACACCTGAAGATCAATCCAAATCGAGATATTTCACCTCCTATCCTTCCAAGAAAAACCCCAAATCAATCCCCGGCTCAAATTCAGCCGCCCCAGAGAGGAATCAAAGCCGCTCACCTGAAGGGGATCGATCGAAACCGAGGACCCGGGCGAACTAGCTCCAGAATTCGAGGGACCAACGAGCAAAAGCTCACTCTGAGCTACTCTGAATCTCTCTGATGCTGTGAGCTGGGCGCCCTGCAAGCTGTAGCTGCAGCTGCTGCTGCTGCTAGCTGGTCTTATCGCCTCTGAGCAAGCTGAGCTCAGCAACTCTCTGCAAGCTCAGCACATATATAGAGGAGCACATTTTTCAGAAAAGACCTCGGATTTTCCATACTTCGTGGATGTGCCCCGCGCACAGTACCATGCAGGGGCTTGACTGCAAAAAAAAAGTCAGGTTCACGTTTCGGATTTATTACGGTCGTGCTTTGTACCATGTACTGCTCTACAACCATTTAGCCGGACTATTTGGAGATGAAATGAATGGATTATATCGAAGAGATCTTATGTTTTTAACAAGTGTGACCACATGAGTTAGGCGGAAATGGGTGGTTAACCATTGTGGTTGATTTGGGTGACCATGAGTCGATTCGATTGCAATGTAATTTTGTAATAAATACTGACATGAGGTAGGGAAATAAGTAGTTAATCATTGATTTTGTGTTATTGTTTAAAACGTTTTTCAGGTTAAGGAAAAATAAGCCACTATGCAAGAAGATGCGGATGTTATCGTCGGAGCATGAATCTTGACGTGATCCTACGATAAGTAAATTTGATTGAATTTTTTTGAGGATATCAGGTGGTTGAAATCTTGTGATTCGCATTAACAAAAAAAAGAAAACTATTCTTTCTTGACTTGTACATTACTCCCCTGGTTTCATATTTTTTTAATGTTTTGAATAACGTTTTGATTTTAAAAATATATATTTAACTATCTATTATTCTAATATATTTATAAAATAAATAAATATTTAATTGTATTAAAGTGCTAGTTTGTTTTTAAAAGACTTTTTAGTGTCTTTAATCTCGGTATTGTCCAAAACGTAAAAAGATTTATGGTGCAACCTTATCTTTTCACTTATGCTTATATTTATCAGCCAAAATTTGAATTTTCAACTTTAAATTTGAAGTTGATTTTGAGGTTTTTTTCATCGAAGTTTATTTTTTAGTCTTTGCTTTTTGATTGCTAAGAACACATATATAAAAGTTTTATTCATAAATTATTTTTCGTTAATGTTTGGCTTATTTCTAGAATAAGCCAAAGGATGGAGCCCTACGGAGTAGATTATTTCTTTCATGAGTGTTTTTCATACCATTGTGGTGGGGGTGCCAATTAAGCGCTAATTAACAGCAGCCCGATGGTGATGAATGGAGCTAGCTAGGCTAAGCTAGTGAAATGAAGAGGAAGATGATGAGATCTGGCAGGTGACGTGGACGGTCAACCGGAAACAGTTGACAGTAGGGGTACGGCTTTCCACTTTAGAGACGGTGTAAAGAGGAGTAGCCTTTCCTTTACAGGCTGTGCGTGCTGTACACTACTGCATTTGTTAAATGTACCTACATACTACTACTAGTCCACTTTCTACGTACTAGTCGTCGTAGACTGCTACAGTTCTACTAGTATTACTAAGGGGATGTTTATCAAATGATGTAAAATTTTGACGTGTCACATCGAGTATTATATAAGGTGTCGTATTGGGTGTTTTGGCACTAATAAAAAACTAATTATAGAATCCGTCAGTAAACCGCGAGACAAATTTATTAAGCTTAATTAATCCGTAATTAGCAAATGTTTACTGTAGCACCACATTGTCAAATCATGGAGCAATTAGGCTTAAAAGATTCGTCTCGCAAATTAGTCGCAATATGTGCAATTAGTTATTTTTTAGCTTATATTTAATATTTATGCAGGTATTTAAACGTTCGATATGACAAGGTGAAAAATTTTTGGGTGGAAACTAAACAGGGCCTAAGCTACAAGCCACTTGCATTTGGGTCAGCAACTCTGCATACAGGGCCGGTCCTGGGTTTTTGGGGCCAAGGCAAAACTTATATATATATATATATATATATATATATATATATATATATATATATATATATATATATATATATATATATATATATATATATATATAGTCATATAAACACACAACATTTAATATTCGATGTGATAAAATTATCTATATATAAAATTTTAAAACTTCAAATAGAAATAAATAGCAGTAGCGAGCAGAGAAGGCGATCGGCGGACGATCGACACGAGCGTGGCTACTAGCGAGCCACGATTTGCCAACTTGCTGTTTCCGTTTGCGAGATGCCAAGAAGTCAAGAAGTTGCCGAGAGCGCAGGAGCAGCGAGCGACGTGACGTGATTGAGGCTGCACGATGTGAGTGGTGTGATGTGATCGAGGCGAAGCGACGGGAGTCAGATGAAGATCGCTTCGGCTTCGCTAAAACAGGCCTGACGATGGACTAAAATTTATTTTCTATATTAGGCTATTTAGCTGTCTAACTTAATATAGAGCCATAGCTCATGAACTAAAATTATACGGTACGTAGTATATATACTATATGTGTATATAGGGGGCCCCTAGATTTTGGGGGCCTCGGGCGGCCACACGGCCTGGCCGGCCTTGTCTGCATATAGCCAAGCTGCGAGTATATACTTGACAGATGCTACCAAAAAGGCCTCCTTGCAATGGACAAAATTTTCAAACAGATTTTGGAGGAATCGAAGTAAGTAAATCATGAATGAAATATATGTAAAATTCATGCGTTCTGTAGAAGCGCGCTAATTTTGTTTTTTTAAGTAGATTAATACTGTGCTACACATGTTAGTAAGGGCTAACCAAAGTCCTCCCTCCGTTTCACAATGTAAGTCATTCTAGCATTTCCCACATTCATATTATGAATGTGGGAAATGCTAGAGTGACTTACATTGTGAAACGGAGAAAGTAGTCGGTAACTCGGTATACTCTCTGTCCACGAATATATGGGGTTTTTGATTATTAAAATTTTATCCGTAGATATAAGGAATTTGGAAGTATTGATTTTTCAGTCCATTCAACCATTGTGTTCGCCGGTGGGTACATAGCTAGACATGATCTTTCCTAATCAAGTAAACTTGTAGGGACCTGGTTGACAGGTTTTTTTTTCTCGAAAATTTAACCGTCAGCTAGCATCAAAGTAATTTCACCTTAAGAACTCTGCTAATCAACCTAAAATCTTTTACATCCCTGGACAAAGTGAGTACTCCTACTATATATGAAGCTCATTTCAGTGATGTACTGACGTGCGCCTGCTGAATTCTCTGCTAGCTCCCACAGTATATATTTCAAACTTAAGCAACACACTTAATTAAGTACAGTATATATAGGCGAATTGACCGATCTTTTTCTAGAGCTTTAATCCTCTCTTCTCCGTACGCACCGTACGGGGTGCAGTGTACTTGTCTATATTTGCTTTGGAAATTAAGACCCGACTAAGACGTATACGGAGTATGTGCTAGCTACTAGTAGCTGCTTCATCGGATTAATTGTTTAGGGCCTGGTAAAATTTTTCACCCTGTCACATCGAATATTTGAATAAGTATTAAATATAAATAAAAAATAACTAATTACATATATTGCGTGTAAATTGCGAGACGAATCTTTTAAACCTAATTACTCCATGATTTAACAATGTGGTGCTAGAGTAAATATTTGCTAATGATAGATTAATTAGACTTAATAAATTCGTCTCGCAGTTTACATGCGGAATCTGTAATTTGTTTCGTTATTAGACTATATTTAATACTTCAAATATGTATCCATATATCTGATGTGACATGCTAAAACTTTACTTCCATAGATCTAAACACCACCTCAATCTTCATCAGAGCTAGCATGCATGTTGAGTTGCCAGCTGCAAATGCAATTGTATTATTTATCAAGTGGTCAATTGGTCATCCAAACAAAAAATGCTTTCAGATTAGGGAAGCTACTCCCTCCATCCCATAATATAAAAAAAATTTCGGTGAATGTGACGCATCATAGTATAATGAATTTTAATAAACTTGTACTAGGATGTGTCATACATCCATCTAAAATCTCTTATATTATGGGACAGATGGAGTAGAATGCTAGCTACTCCCTTCAGGAAAAAGAGTATATACGAAGTTACAGTGTTGCTATAGTTTAAGATGGAGGGAATAGATAAAATGATGTTTATTAGTTACATATATGCACATCGATATAATGGGTAAAATTAATGTGATTACAACACTTGTACTAAAAATCTCGATCAACTGTACTTGCATTTGACCAGCTTAATTAATTTGCTATGCGTGTTCTTCAGCCTTTTCATTCTCATGATCTGGACAAGGACTGAACTGGGATCGATCGATGCAAAAATATACAATGTTTTATCGATGAATCGTTTCATCGATCTGGTGTACTTTCCTGCGAATCGAAGCATACTGATTTGGGAATGTGGTTGATCCCCAATTGGTGCATGCTCATCTCGATCAAAAAAAAAGGGGGGAAAACAAACTGAACTGAATTAGCTTTTAATTGGACGATTCGTCCTTACATTCGTGCTTGCATTCATGAGCCTAAAGCTGAATTAGCTTTTGTGGAGTTGAAGAGTTGTAGCATGCGCGTCCTCTCGATCGACAAGAACATAATATACTCCATCGCTAGTAACATGCATATGGGTGCTAGCTTTATTATATACTATCAGCTTTTGATTTATCGGTGCTTGCAAAAGCCTACGTAAAAGATAGCACACCTGCATCCCTGTATAATCCATGCATGCACTGATATGATATGCAGGTCCTGGTGGAAAAATAGCTTATGGGGCTGGAGTCGAAGGAGCTTTTATAGACATAGAAATCATAATACATTGGTGCAGAAATCATTTTTCTAGGCGGCGTATAATCCGTTTACACGGGTGATTCCTGACCTGCCTCTAGCCGATGGCCTGCACAAATCAAGTATTTTTACGGGCGCCCAAAAAAGAACCGTACGTGAAAATACATTTACAAATGCAAATATCTTTAAGTTTCCGCTGCAAGAAAAATACATTTTTCACGGGCTATTTTTTAAAACAACTGCTCGTGAAAGCATTTTTCGCATGTGATTTGGTTAGGAAATCCTCCTGCCATGTAGAACGAGATAGCAACCTTCAGGAGCAGCAAGTGCCCATTGTAAGTTGCGAGCTTGTCCTGAGGCCATCCGGCCGAGGGCACGCCTGCCTGGACGTCACGAAACCCGTCAAAAAAAAGTTAGGAGCATGTCAAATCATTGGTGTTTTACTGCCCTCTTTCTTATTTGAAATAGAAAGAAAGGGATATAATTAACGCAGTGGTGGATATAGTGGCGGGATATTATGGCTTGGGTAGCCAAATACTCCCCATCCTAAAATGCAAGGCAATATTACTTTCAAAAATCAAATTTTGGATTAATATTTATATA